AGGAGCAATAATATGTACGTACCACTAAAATGTTTGAGAGCATCTGCAGGGCTCCCTTAATTCTCTGTTGACATGGGGACTGAGAGGGGACAGCTGGCAGGAAAAAAGGAGGAAGAGCCACACTCAGAAGTCTGGGAGTCCAGAGAGAGGACAGGAAAATTATGCAAAGAAGTAAAAGAAGAAAGCAAAATGAGCAGCTCATATTTTCACTATATTTGTTTTAATTGCAGTTTGATCCAAGTTGTCCAGGGCATTCTGTATCTCTCTTTCAAGGCACTGACTTCTCACCAAAGAGCGGAAGACAATGCCTAATGGCATTTACACACCATGAAGCAGGTTTTGGACACTTTAGAAGAAGACCGGGAGAACTGATATAGCTCAGCATAACTTAAGTTTCTTTTACAATTAGAAATAAGGTGATAAGGGCTTAAAACAGGGATGGACAATCCATGCTGGTTTTTTTTTTTTCCTGAGGGTGGTAGTTCTTCAGAATGATCATGTCAATATTGGGCAGCAAGCAGCTGAACCATAAAAATAGAATTCACATATTTATCCCTAGAAAGAGGAAAAAATGGCTTCACAATCATAAACCTAAAGATAAAAATCCTAAAATATTCTTAAGCCCTCAACTCAGCTTACTTGTTTAACATCAGGATGTTATTGTTAGCATTTTCTGCCCTGGCTGCCTAATGTAACACTGTTTGCCCCACTGGCTGTCCATAAGTTGGTTCCCAGTGATCTAAAAGGTCCCAGTGAATTAGGAAAATGTGAGGCAGGATTTCTGGCTCATACTTTTAAGGCCTATCTTCAACCAGAAAACAAATGGATTTTAAAGTCCCCTTTGCATACATTTTAACCTACTTCTGAAAGCACACACTGAATTAGACTTTATTTTCACTTAACTTGTCAAAACAAGTAAAACCACAAAGTAGAGCTGAAGCAATTGCTCGGAGCTGTCTGTAGAGCAAACGCGAGCGCTCAAGGTGTTGGGAGCTGAACTCAACCGCAAAGATCATTGCAGAAACAGATGTTGAAAGATAAAGGCAGCTTAAACGAAAAACAAAATTACCCCACAGTAAATCTGTTATACTGTAATTTTCCCAATTATGTACCTTCTGGAGTTGTTGGAATAGCATGATATTCCTAGCTAGTAAGATCTTTGGCATCTATGCTGGGAATTGTGGATGTTTCCAAACTAATATATCTGGTGGAACACAAATCGTGTCATCTAGCATTAACCAAAATGAATGCAATGTTTTTTTGCAACTGAATACACCATTTTGCATTTTTTTTAAATGAGCCAAATGTTCAGTTGAACGCTGAAGAAGTGTTTCTTCCTTTTTGCTGGCATCACTTAGCTCAGTTTGGGTTTGAAATGGACCTTTTGGGATTGTTTTTAAAGCACATGCGATGTGATGCCCTATTGTACACCATCAGTAAATTCTTGTGACTCATACCAAAAATGAATTAGTAGCACGTTTGGTGCTACTTCAGAAATAAAAATCCCCAAATCATTTTACGGGTATACTTTTATTAGGAAACCTTACAGATTACAAAATAGTACATAGTGTTTCAAGAGAGTCAGAATTCTTTGTTTGGTAAGGTGGAAATAAAGCAAGTTTTCGGGAGTAGGAAAGAAGTGCTAATCATGGTATTAACATTTAAGGTGGGGGAAAGAGCTTGGTTTCCAAAGGCATGGCCACAGCAGCAACAGAAATCAGCAAGAGCTAGGCAAAGTCCAGCCCTTGCTGGATTCATGGCAGAAGTGTCACGTATAAGGCATCTAGTGAGGTTTATGCTGGAAGAAGATAGAGAACATTACTTCCACATGAGATCAGAAGAAAATCAAGAAATAAGTTTCAGCAATGGGTTCGGCTAAAAGAATGGCTGTGCCAGGCAGACATGTCCTTCCACGAATTTACAAGGCATCGTTGAGCCAAAATTAGGGAGTTGTGTAATGTCCCCTTGATGATCTTCTGAAGATAAAGGTGGAGTTAGGCTTTAATAAATGCTTCAATGTTTTCTGGTTCACCTAAGACTGCTCTTAAAACTGCTTGGATGAACAAATAAAGAATAATTGATCTGCCGTTTCTGAAAATATAAAGTGGGAATGTTATCCAGACTGATCTCCATCGTATGTCAAGTAGACAGGTGTAGAGCACAGCCAGGCCAGAACAACTGAGCTCATTCCCTGTTAACCCCACTTGATAGAGTGATAGCAATCTGTGGAATGAAGGCTGCAGTATATAACGATGGCCAAAACATAGCAGCAGTGGTCCAGTTAGAACATTTTCATCTGTGAGCTTATTGGTTTTATGTATGCACATGCACATCCACAGGCTCTTTTGCCGACAGATGCCCTTCAGATGGCTTGAACCTCAGTGTCCTATCTGTACCTAGTACAGGCTTAGGTCACACTGTCTGTAGATTATGGGGGTTGAAATCCAAGACTTCAGGCTGGAGAAAACTAATGCACGTAGTAATGTGTATAATGTGCTTTACTTCAACATGTGGTAAGTTCGGCCTGCTGCATTCAGGAATTCAGCCAAAGCTGAAGAGCAGCAGTTGCAAGGCTGAGCCGGAAACTGTCTAGATAAGAGATGGGTAATGGGCCTTCTCTGCTGTCACTGCTGCCAAGGTCTATTATGAGCGATGATATTGGCAGTTCAGGATACTAAGGGAGAGATAAAGGGCTGGTATACCCAAGGAGCTCCTACAGGAAAATCTTTTTCAGTGGCTCTTAGCATGGGGTTTGCGTTTTTTTTTTTACATCAAGAGTAGGCAACCTGATATCTGCGCAAGGACTTAGCCATTTCCTTGTTCACCTTGCTTTAAAAAATGATTTCAATTATATAATAATTAAAATTGCAAAATAGTGGAAAGTTGAAGCTGTAGGTGTGGGACTGAGACAAATCCCCAGAGACAAAGACAAACCAAATGTTTGCTTATCAATGTTTGCTTACACACTTGCTTACCATTTGTGCAGAAGCCTCAACGCCAAGAGGATCCACAAATTGCACACCGGTTCTGACTGGGGTGGTACAATCCTATTCAGAAAAAGAAATGAAAACTCCCAGTTTCTCCCCCACCCCCCAAAATCACTTGATCTTCCCCATCTAGACGCCCAGTTCTTCCAGGCAGCAAAACAGGACCTCCATGACATTACACAGTACGGCTTCTGACATTACTCAGGTGGCCTGGGGTGGAAATGTAAAGATGGATATCATAATAATTCACACTGAACCAGCGGATGATCTCACACAGCAGTTTTTTCTACACGGCACCAGACAATATGGCTTTTGACAGGCTGAATCAGCTTTTTCTTTTGTGAAAAGACAGTTGCAAAATAGGAATTATGAAGTTGAAACTTTTTGTTGTGCGTTATCATCTTGCCATTTTTTCCAATCAGCAAATTGTTTCCTTGACTTTACTTGTTCCACATATATCTCAAAATGCTCTATTGTGGTTGTTGCTATTTCTTATTTTGGGCATATATTGCAAGCCTCACTTCATTCTTAGCTTTAGCTTTGCTTATTTTCCCTTCAGGATTTCCATCAATGATATCTTTCCTATTTTTCCCCTTTCCCATTATTGAGGTCTGCTCTCTGGAAATCTAGACTACTAATCTGTTTGCCTTCAGTTCTCTCGGCTTCAATATGGTGAATTTTAGAATCACATGGTCAGTCTCTACCAAGGCTCCTACAACTTCCATTTCTTTAACTATTTCTTCCCTCTTAGCAAGTCTTGAGTCCAATGTAACTGATCCTCTAATCCCCTCAACTACATTTTGGACAATGATGTGGCCCGTAAGACACATCAAGAACCTGTTGGCTTCCTTACGTGGCTGTATCAAAGGGTTTGCTTTCCAGGTCATACCGGGATAGTTGAACTCTCTCACTATGCCGGCAATGATTTCTGGATTCCTTGCCCATCTAACTGGCAAATATTTCATTCCTCTCTTTGGCTTGATACATGGCCCGTATGTCAAGCGCCAGGAAAATCAGGAGATCCATACAGTTCAAATAGGTATAAACATTTATTGTAAACTTAATCTCTCTACAAAAATCTGAACCATTAGGGGCCAAGAGAAATTAGCGGGAGATAAGAGTAGAAGGAATTCAAAGTAAACTGGACCTCTTGTGGGTGCGAAGAGACTCGAGACTGATGATACATTTATCCCCCCACTTGGGTTCAGCCTGGTCATCTCCTACACTGTAGCATCCTCTCACAAAAGTGTCATTTATAGTTAGGTTCTTTTCCCTCTCTTTATTTCCATCCAGGCCCCTTCAGCAAAATTTTGATCACATGAATTGTCACACAGGTATGGTCATTCTTTACATATAATGCAAACCAGTGGTGAAATCCAATTTTTTTTTACTACCGGTTCTGTGGGCATGGCTTGGTGGGCGTGGTGTGGCTTGGTGGGCGTGGCAGGGGAAGGATACTGCAAAATTCCCATTCCCACCCCACTCTGGGGCCAGCCAGAGGTGATATTTGCCGGTTCTCCGAACTACTCAAAATTTCCGCTACCAGTTCTCCAGAACCTGTCAGAATGTGCTGGATTTTACCCCTGATGCAAATCCTATAGTTGGGTCTGTTTCTTTTGAATAAATTATATCCCAATGAATGCTATTCAGATGAAAAGTCTGGAATTATCTGTGATATATCTCACCTTTTCCCTTTAATTTCTCTAAAGGGTGTTGACAGCCTAAGGCCACCATATAAACCACATGACTGAATAAGGATTTGCTCTCATGCTTCTAAATTAACTTTCCCTACTCTTCCACCTTAGCTGGAACAGTAGCTATGTGCAAAGAATGTACAGTTCTTCTACCAAAATATAAATCAAGAAATCAAGCACATTTCTTCATGCTGTTGTTGTTAGCCCTGAAGAGATCAAAGATTAGTGTTATGCAGAATACCAGAACCATGGTTTATGCACTTTTATAATCTTCTAAACTCTCATGTGTTTGTAATCCTTTTTTTTTTTTTTTTTTTGCAAGCTTAAGGACTAGAAACATCGCTAGTGGAAAAAATAGACAAATTCAATTTTCCAGGCTAAGCAAATGCTAAATCAAGCTATTAATGCAACAGAAACTATTTATAACCAAACCAGCAGGTGCAGCAAACCAGCCCCCCTTCTTTTTCTAAGTAGCAAAACACCCCTCTCCCACAAGAAGGCAAATGGGGCCCCGTTTTTCTCCCCAGCCTCTGCTTTTCTTTCCTTCCTGAGCTCAGGAGCAAAGGCTGCAGGGGGGTCTGGGCATCCGGTTCCCACCACCAGGCCCAGGCCAGGCAGTTCTTGCAGCCACATTGCCAACACGTGACAGGAAACCCAGCAGCTTTTGATCTCTTCCCAGCTGCTGCAGTAGCAGCACCAGGCTGAGATGGCCACAGCACCAATTCACTCCTGCTCTGGGCTCCTTGGACTCCGCTTCTCCCATGTCCTCCTTGCCTTCTTGTGCAGTAAGTGCCCTGGACCCCTTCCTTCAACAGAGCCCTATTTTCTTCCAGATTTCACTGTCCTCCCTTGACCTAATTCTTTCAGAGACTCCTGGGCTCCTCTGTAGCCTCCCCACCTGATTTTGTCTTTTTCTTTCTCCTTCTTCAGCCTTTGTGGGCAGTGGCTCTGCCGTGACAGTAATCCAAACTCCAAGCTTTGTCAGTGACTCGACTGGGGGGAAAATTTCCTTCAGTTGCTCTGTGGATGATACAAGCTACAGGTTTTATTTATATCACCAATTGCCTGGGAAAACAGAATTGAAAGTCATCGGGTACCTGTCCACTGGTAGTAAAACCCTTGAAGAAATTCCACCTGAATTGACGAATCGGCTGGAAGGAAAGGGTTCCAAGCATGAGAACCCATCTAGGCGGGAATTGCGTTTGGAATTATCAAAACTTCAGGCGAATGACACAGGCTTCTATCTCTGTGCTGCATTGTACACAGTGAAAGAGAAAGAAACAGTGGCAGATGCAAAACTGAGTATCAGGAACAAATCTGCCCTTTACACTTTTCTGTTCATATCCACCTTTTACCTGACATCCATGGGTAATCCTGTTCTACATCCTAGTGGTCTCATATTTAAAACAGCCTTTGGTCAATTTATGCCTATTCATACACAGGCTGTGAGACTTTTGATCTAATAGATTGCAAGATCACAAGAACAGACCTGCACGATGAGGGCCAGGCTGTTATAGGCCAGCATCTCAGGTCTCACAGTGGCCAGCCAGATCTCTTCAGGCTGCTGTCAAAGAAAACATGGATACAGTTCTTTTCCTATAACTGGAACTTGAAGGCTTGGTGCCCCTAACCTAGAAGTAACATTGCTTTACAAAGGATACTAGAGCCTGTCTGGTAAAATAGTTGAGAGGTTGGACCAGAACCAGAAACATCAAGTTCTTTTGTATTGTCACCAAAAAAAAGTGCATAAACATGGATAAAAAAATAAGATAAATTGGGATGAATGATAATGGGACCCCATCCCTTTCCTCAAGTTCATTTTGGGGAATATAAATTATTTTCACCATACATTGATTTATATATAATTTGGAAGCATTCCTATTTACTGTGGCAGAACATTAACTTTTACAAGGGGTTGTGGGCGATATAGTCCCATCAAAACTACAAAGCAAAGACACGTTCTCATTAATACTGTAATCAGTGAAAAACATTTTAGATTTCTCAGGTGGAAAGTGATGCACTTCTGACAGAACACTGGTACCAAAAAGTTCTATACTCTGAAATCTGAACCAATTGCTGAGAATTAGCACTGATACACAAGAATGCCCAGAGATGGGAGTCAGCAGTGTCAAAATGGTGGATGCGATTAAAGTCCTTCCCCTTTTAATGTGCACATTTTGCACATATCAAAAAGAGCAGCAGCTTCAATCTCTCAATCATATCTACCTTTTTGATGATGATGCCCTTCAGACACCTGAAGACTGGGTTTTAGGAGTCCTGGACGGGGAACAAACATTACAACTATCCTATATAGGCTGAAATCTCCCTGACCCTCCGAATTCTTCTGAGATTTCACAGCCATCTAGAAACATTTACTGATTACTGGTTACTGATAGGCGGAGATGCTTCAGATTAAGGGCATTTTGAGCTGCGTTGAAAGCCAAATGAAATCACAGAATGGCTTTTAGGCATGGTGTACGTATAGAGCCATCACTTTTTTTTTTGTAAAGTTTTTTTATTTTTTAAACACACAAACAAACATACAATCTGCTGCACTTGGTGGTGCAGCAGATTAAAGTACTGTTAAGTAACACCAGCTGCCTGCAATTACTGCAAGGCTCAAGGTTGACTCAGCCTTGCATCCTTTTGAGGTAGGTAAAATGAGGACCCGGATTGTGGGGGCAATAAGCTGACTTTGTATAAAAAAGAACACCACTTGGGGGGGGGGGCGAAAGCCCTACTGAGCAGGTATATACAAAAGTATGAAGGCTATTGCTTAACGCATTGTAAGTCTCCGGAGAAGGGTGGCATATAAATTGAACCAATAAATAAATAAATACAATACATCTTTTCTGAACAGAATATTGGCCTGGTCTTAAATTTGTGCAGATTTTTTGTTCATCTTTAACACAATTTTATATGTTCAATTTTTCTCATATCATTTATTCTCTCTAACTTTAAGAAACCAATATTACCCTTCATCTTAACTTCTCGTTCTATTATAGTTCAGTTTTTCTTTTCCCTCCTTAAAATTTGAACAGAGCCATCACTTTTGAAGGAACAACTGAAAGTATGAATGACTTTGCCCTTAAGAGTATTTATAGCCAAGCCAGCAGGTGCAGCAAACCAGACCCTCTCCAGCAGCTTCATTTTCTAAGCAGCAGAACGCACCCCCCCACCCCAAAAGAAGGCAAATGTCCCCCCCCCCATTTCTGCCCAGCCACTGCTCTTCTTTTCAGCCTGAACTCAAGAGCAAAGACCTGAAGGGGGTCTGGGCATCCGGTTCCCTCCACCAGGCAGTTCTTGCAGCCACATTTCCAGCACGTGACAGGAAACCCAGCAGCTTATGATCTCTTCCCAGCTGCTGCAGTAGCAGCCCCAGGCTGAGATGGCTCCAACACCTCTTCATTCCTGCTCTGGGCTCCTTGGACTCCGCTTCTCCCATGTCCTCCTTGCCTTCTGGTGCAGTAAGTGCCCTGAAAGGGGCCTGGATCCCTCCCTTCATCAGAGCCTCATTTTCTTCCAGATTTCACTGTCCTCCCTTGACTTAATTCTCTCAGGGTCTATTGGCTTCCTCTCTAGCATCCCCACCTAATTTTGCCTTTTTCTTTCTCCTTCTTCAGCCTTTGTGGACAGTGGCTCTGCCCTGACAGTGATCCAGACTCCAAGCTTTGTCAATGACTCAACAGGGCAAAGTATTTCCTTCCACTGCTCCGTTGATAACACAGACTATCATTTCTCTTGGTATCGCCAACTGCCTGGGAAGTCAGAACTTGAAGTCCTTGGGTATCTCTACACTTACAGTACAACACTTGAAGAAATTCCACCTGAACTGAAGGGTCGGCTGGAAGGAAAGGGTTCCAAGCTTGATAACCCACCTAGGCGGGAAATGCGTTTGGAATTGTCAAAACTTCAGGCGAATGACACAGGCTTCTATCTCTGTGCTGCGGTGAACACAGTGAAAGAGAAAGGAACAGTGGCAGGTGCAAAACTGAGTATCAGGAACAAATCTGCCCTTTACACTTTTCTACTCCTATCAGTCTTTTACCTGACATCCATGGGTAACCCTGTTCTACATCCTAGTGGTCTCATATTTAAAACAGCCTTTGGTCAATTTATGCCTTTTGGATGCCCAGAACTGCCCATTTTTACATGGGCTGTGAGGTGAGGCTTTTGATCTAATAGATTGCAAGATCACAAGAACAGCCCTGCACAATGAGGGCCAGGCTGTGGTAGGCCAGCATTTCACATGTTACAGTGGCCAGCCAGATCTCTTCAGGCTGCTGTCAAAGAAAACATGGATACAATTCTTTCCCTATAACTGGAACTTGAAGGCTTGGTGCCCCTAACCTAGAGGTAACATTGCTTTACAAAGAACACTAGAGCCTGTCTGGTAAAATGGTTGAGAGGTTGGACTAGAACCAGAAAAGGCCAAATTCATATCCACCCTCAACCATGGAAGCTCCCCCTGGTGACTTTGGACCTTTCAGCCCAGCCTATCCAAAAGGGTTGTTATTGTGGAGAAAGCTTACAGAACGAAGTGACATGTATACCAGCCTAAGCTCCTTGAAGAATCATGAGTTGTAAATCCAACATCTTGATAAGCACATCCTTCAGTCCATTTTTAAAGCCCTCAGATTAGTAGCCACTGCTACAACTTAGTGTTTTACCATGGACAGGACAGAAGGATGCCTCCTTTTTTCATCTGCTAAATTACTCCTCAAGCAACTACATTGGCTGACATCTGGACCAACATCTGTGAGAGAGGACAAAGCCTTCTTCCTGTCTACATTCTCCATGCCACGAATGACTTTATACACCTTGGTCATGTTCCCCCAACCTCACTTTTTCTTATAAAGAAATGGTGCATCTTCTTTCACTTTATTTGAGAAAACAGATGGGCACTAAGGAGATATCATTTGGTCCAGGGAAAAGGCACTCACTTGCATAACTGCAGCATTACACTGGGTTTGCACCCCCTGTCATCTTTCATTTCAGAGTCATCACATGAAATTGATTGACAGTGCACTTTGGACGGGAATATAGAAGCAAGCCTTCATCCAAAGAACAAAAATGTGACAGATCTGAGCACTGGCTCCTAGCATTTGGGCTAAAGCAGTTCTTGGCGCCTCTCAATCAAGCCCCAAGCTTTAATGCCCGGGGACCCCAGAAATCATAGTCACAATCAAGTCATCAAATGGGTATCTGGATCAGAAAGAAGTTGGGTGTCTGAAGCAAGGAAGCAGATTTGGTGGTCCAGGTCAGGGGTTCTGTAGATAGAAAAGAGAAGGGATTCACATTCGGTTATTCTACTATTGAGTAGTAAATAGAAATGATAGAATACAGAACTACAAAAGCAAAGTACGTAAATTGATATGAAATGCTGTAAAATTACAATTAATGTTATGTAATGTTCAATACGTTATGTTTTGACATGTTTTGTTTTTATATATGTGTGATTGTTTTTTGTGTTGTTTTTAAAGACAAACTGTTTAATAAAAAATATTTTTTTAAAAAAAAAAAGAAAGAAAAGAGAAGGGATGAGCTACTCAGTGTATCAAGTCCAGATTCAGCATCTGCTTGATCTCAGGAAAAAGCATTAATGTTGAAAAGTCCTAAACTTCTAGATACAAATCACTGACATTGAGGAAAGCCATTGTTTCAGAGATCCAGGCCCTTGAATCTGACACTCTCATACCTCTCTGTTCTCTTCAGCCGCTGCAGCAGCAGCAACAGCAGTTATGGGCTTGGTTTTCAATTCAAGTTTGCTCTGCTGCTGCTCTCTGCAAGTTAAATTTTCAGCTCACAATCAGCCTTAATTCCTAATCACAATTTGGGGGATAACAACTAAAGTAAACATCTACACTTACTTAATTGATTGTATGAGAGAAATTCCTCCATAATGGGGATCAGACACACTCTTTCTTTGAAACACAAACTGTTTATTTCAGTACCAGAGGTAGCAAGGCTAATCTGAAAAGGGTGGGGGTTGCAACCCTTTTATTTAGATTCATGCAAATGCACATATTTATTAATATAACAGGTAATTGATTGAATAGGTAAGTTTATGAGATACGGATACTGGGGTGATGAAGGTGGCATTATAAAGACACTGCATATTGCATTAAACAAAGGCTATGTTCTTTGAGTAAGTGTTACTATTACGGTAACTTTCTCTAAGCGTTTTCTCCCAGTGGCCTTCTCAGCACTTTTCCCAGATTCTTAGTGGTCTTAACCCACATTCTTTGTGTCTAAATGTTTTATGGTTTACCAACAGCATAGATCTGGGAGGAAGGTAATTTATTTGCTTTACCCAACACCATTTTCTTTCTACTACACCTGTCTACAGTACTAAACTGTAGAACCTAAGGCAGCTGAAGCATCATCTTTGCTGGGACATCCTCTTGATGCTGTGGGGAGGGGGGGGGAGGAAGAGGAAACCTGAAGAGGCTGTGTGCCATTTTTCCATACTGCCCATTCTTCTCCAATGAAGCTTGCCTGGAAAGCCCATGTTGTCTGACTTAGATTTCTTTAAAAGGAAACATGATGATGTATTCATTTGGATACTTACATGTGAAACATCTGTACATAAATTAAGCATACACTGTAGGTATTTATTAAACAAATTAATACAGCCACCCAACGCACATTTAGGTGACTTGGGGAGTTTACAACATTGAAACAATCCATCATTTAATAAAAACCCATTTAAAAACATAAGTAACACAAATCAGCCACTTGATTGGTTTCATCTCCTTCTTGGTCTCCAGACCCAATGACAAACCATATTTTAGGGCCTTTTGGAAAAACAACAGGATGTGGGCCGTATAGCATCTTAAAATGTAAAAACTGAATTGCTTTCCTTTTTTAAAAAAAGAAATAAATAAAGCACAGACATAATTACTAAATAAAACTGATTTATTCCTCTGTCTTACTTTAACACAAAGTTTAAAATCACCCAAAGGCATAACTAGATGCCCTTCCACAGGATCACCATTTTGACATAATGGGACAACTCGGTAGCAACAGTGGCAATAGCCACTTAGATTTATATACTGCTTGATAGCAATAGCACTTAGATTTATACACTGCTTCTCAGTGCTTTACAGCCCTAAGCAGTTTACAGAGTCAGCCTATGGCCCCCAACAATCTGGGTCCTCATTTTACCGACCTCAGAAGGATGGAAGGCTGAGTCAACCTTGAGCCAGTGAGAATCGAACTGCTAAACTGCTGGCAGCCGGCAGTCAGCAGAATTAGCCTGCAATACTACATTCTAACCACTGTGCCACCATGGTGGGGTGATGCCAGCGGGTGCAGCTAATGTGGTCAAATTGAAAAGAAGACAAGTGAAGCAAAGGATAATTCACAATGGGAGGGAGAGTAGGAGAAATTTTTCAGCTATGAGGGAAGCCAATGCACTTGGATAAGGAACTCCAAAACCTGGAAAAGATAACTGCAAACCTTTTTTTGTATTGTCACCAAAAAAAGTGCATAAATATGGGTAAAAAAATAAGATAAACTGGGATGAAAGATAATGGGACCCTGCCCCTTTCCTCAAGATCATTTTGGGGAATATAAATTATTTTTACCATACATTGATTTATATATAATTTGGAAGCATTCCTATTTACTGTGGCAGAACATTAACTTTCACAAGGGGTTGTGGGTGATGTAGTCCCATCAAAGCTACAAAGCAAAGAAATTTTCTCATTAATATTGTAAGCAGTGAAAAACATTTTAGATTTCTCAGGTGGAAAGTGATGCACTTCTGACAGAACACTGGTACCAAAAAGTTCTATACTTCGAAATCTGAACCAATTGCTGAAAATAAGGACAGATGGGAGTCAGCAGTGTCAAAATGGTGGAGGCAACCCAGCAATTGAAGTCCTTCCCCTTTTAATGTGCACATTTTAATGTGCACATATCAAAAAGAACAGCATCTTCAATCTCCCAATCATATCTACCTTTTTGATGATGATGCCCTTCAGACACCTGAAGACTGGGTTTTGGGAGTCCTGGATGGGAACAAACATTACAAGTATCCTTTATAGGCTGAAATCTCACTGATCTTCCAAACTCTTCTGAGATTTCACTGACATCACTTGTACATCTCTAACCTTCTTTTTGCAGCCTTAAGGTCCAGAAACATAGTTTCCATACTGACAATGGTAGAAAAGAGAAGATGCTCAAAATAAGGGCCTTGGGAGCTGCATTCAAAGCCATATAAAATTGTTCAAGGGCTTTTAGCTGGGTACATATTCCATCACTTTTGAAGGAACAACTGAAAGTATGAATGAATTTGCCCTTAAAGCTACAGTATTTATAGCCAAGCCAGCAGGTGTAGCAAACCAGCCCCACTCCAGCAGCTTCATTTTCTAAGCAGCATAACACCCTCAGGCACAAGAAGGCAAATGGGGATCCCCCCCCCATTTCTGCCCAGCCTTTGCTCTTCTTTCCTCCCTGAGCTCAGGAGCAAGAGACCTGGGGAGGGGGGGATCTGGGCATCCGGTTCTCACCACCAGGCCCAGGCCAGTCTGCCCTTGCAGCCACATTGCTAACACGTGACAGGAAACCCAGCAACTTATGATCTCTTCCCAACTGCTGCAGTAGCAGCCCCAGACTGAGATGGCTCCAACACCTCTTCATTCCTGCTCTGGGCTCCTTGGACTCCGCTTCTCCCATGTCCTCCTTGCCTTCTGGTACAGTAAGTGCCCTGAAAGGGGCTGGTCCCCTTCCTTCAACAGAGCCCTATTGTCCTCCAGATTTCACTGTCCTCCCTTGACGTAATTCCTCCATAATTTCCTGGGCTCCTCTCTAGCCTCCCCATCTGATTTTGCCTTTTTCTTTCTCCTTTTTCAGCCTTTGTGGGCAGTGGCTCTGCTGTGACGGTGATCCAGACCCCAAGCTTTGTCAATGGCTCGACAGGGCAAAGTATTTCCTTCAGTTGCTCTGTTGACAATGGCTATAATTTGTTTTGGTATCGCCAACTGCCTGGGAAGACAGAATTGGAACTCCTTGTGACTGTCTACAGTTACAGTACAAGACTTGAAGATATTGGAAATGATTTCAAGGATCGGCTGAAAGCAAATTTCGCAGAGAAATCAGGCAGGCGGGAAATGCATTTGGAATTGTCAAAACTTCAGGCAAATGACACAAGCTTCTATCTCTGTGCTGCGGTGAACACAGTGAAAGAGAAAGGAACAGTGGCAGGTGCAAAACTGAGTATCAGGAACAAATCTGCCCTTTACACTTTTCTACTCCTATCCATCTTTTACCTGAAATCCATGGGTAACCCTGTTCTACATCCTAGTGGTGTCATATTTAAAACAGCCTTTAGTCAATTTATGCCTTTTGGATGCCCAGAACTGCCCATTTATACACGGGCTGTGGGGTGAGACTTTTGATCTAATAGATTGCAAGATCACAAGAACAGACCTGCACAATGAGGGCCAGGATATTATCCGTGAGAGTACATAAGTTTTGCATGTAGGCAGGAAACCGATGCACTAGGATAAGGAACATCAAAATCAAACCTGAAAAAGGCAGCAAAAACCTTTTTTGTGGTGTCAACAAGTAGGTCAAGTAGTCCTTGACCTATGACTTAGCAACCGTTCAAACTTACAACCAACTCAAAAAAGGGGACTTGTGATTGGGATCCAAAGTTCTGAAGGGGTCGCCTTCTACCCCTTCCAGTGACTGACTTTCTGGCATTCAGCAACATTCAGCCTCTTGCCACAAACAGTGGTGACATGAGTATGTTTTATGATGGTTTTGCCAAGAACTTTTTTTTTTTTTGACAAAACTGCATGGCATAGCAATCCATGCACCTAAATGCCCCCACGTTTGCTTAATGTCCAACTCATTTGTTTAACGATGTGAGCAAAAGAAAATCATGAAATGAGATCAGTCATGTGACCAACAAATTTACAAGCTTTAAGACTTCTGACTGTGATAAGCGGGCTCCATTATGGTTGTACCCTGAGGACTACCTGTCAGCATGGCTAAAAAAATAAGATAAATTTGAATGCCAGATGATGGGACACCCTCTTCCCCAAATCCGTTTTAGGGAATATAAATTATTTTTGCCATATACCTTGATTTATATTTAAGTTGGAAGCATTCCTTAATACTGGGGCAGAATATTAACTTTCACATGGGGTTTCTGGGTGATATAACCAGTTCAAAGCCACAAGGAAATCTGCTCACTAATAGTGCAAGCAGTGAAAGAGGAGTTTCTCCACTTTGTACAAATAGATTTCTCTAAGGATGCAGAGTGTAAGAAACATGATCCAAGAAAAACTAGCAATTTTCAAAGAGGAAATGAAGCATATTACAGTGGGTGCTTTAGGAATAAATAAACTTAATTGAACTGGCATAGCCAACTTAAATCAGATGATTACATGATGTATTATTCAGGTAATGAAAACATACAAGGAAATGGCATGTGAATGATATTCAAAAATCCAATAAGTATGTGCTTAGTTATAGCCCAGCAAACAATGCCATAATATTTATTGTTATTAATGGATGATATCTATTCAACATCTGTATAGGCACCTGTTACAAATGCAGTGGAAAGAAGACACCGAGGAAAATGACAAGAGCTGCAACGTGAAGAAAGTATTTGAAGCTTTTTCATGGAGTATTTGGGGAATATAAATTATTTATGAAGGTTGTTTAATGAGGAAGTATATCCTGGTGGTGATTTATGCCATTTTGTGTGCTGATGTCATCAGGCCCTCACAACCTCTAGATACTCATTGACAAAACACCTTGTTGATATCAGGTGGTCAG